GGCGCTGGGTCTCGCTGTCTGTCTACACCGCAGGCTCAGGAGAACCCGATCGATCCTCGGGCGGGGGAAAGGGGTCAGGCTTCCATCCTGCCACTCAAACCCCATCCTAACCCTTCGATCCCCCCAAAACACAGAGGGCGCCGAAAAGTTTATCCAGGACCCCCGGCTTCAGCCTGCAACTCGGCCGAGCCGGAGACCCCTAAAAGCTCCGAGGGGCGGGACACGGAAGGGGTCGGGGTACCCCCAGCTCGCACGAGCCCCCCCACGTTCCGGCCAGGGGCGCCCCGATGGCTGCGGGAGCCGGGCGGGAGGAGCGCGAGTAGACTCACCGTGCGGAGCTCCTGGGTTCGGTCCTTCATGCTCCCGGGAGTGGCAGCGGCACCGGCTGCAGCGAGTGAGCCCCGCATGCGCCACGGCCGCCCCGCGGCTGCGCAGCACCGGCCCGGCCCCGCCCCGGCCCCCGGGACCCCAGCCCGGCCCCGCCCTGCGCCCTGCCCCGCCCCGCTCCCCCCTTCGGGCCCCGCCCCCAGCTCACCCTGGGCTCGTGACCTACCTTCTCCAGGCCCGATCCTTACCCGGGACAGGGTCCTGGAGCCCCTGTTCCCTCCCTACTCCAACTTCCTCTGGACCAAGCCTCTCAGCATCTTTGGTCTGGACCCTGAATCTCACCCCCTGCTTGACTTTATTGCTTGGGGACCTTCTGCACCCTACCCCTTCCCCTAGTCAAAAGCCCCCTCCATAGGGCGTGGTGCCTGTGATCACAGCACTCTGGAAAGCTGAGGCAGGAAGATCGCCAGTTTGAGCTCAGTCTGGGCAATTTAGCCAGACACTTTCAAAATTAAAAGAAAATATCTACCTATCTATCTACCTATGGCTGCTGGGTATGTAGCTCAGTGTGAAGGCCCTGGGTTCAATCCCCAGCACCAGGAGAAAAAAAAACCACGCTGCAGAACGCCTCGGCCTCAGCCACCACCTTCCTACTTTGGCCATCTCCTCCGGAGGCAGCCTGGGGCCCTCTCTCCCCATGTCTTAGTGCACTGTCCCATGCCTGGTGACCACACCCAGCAGGCCAGAACCCCTCAATCTTTGGGAAAGGGAGGTTGAGTTACAACTCCCTCTCCTGCCCCTGTTGCCTTGTCCCTGTCCGATCCAGCCCCAGTTCTGAGGTCCTCAGCGCCAGACCCTGGGGAAGAGCCCAGCAGAAGTGGGGGAGGGGCACCGGAAGGCAGCAGATGAACCTTTCAGGCCCCTGCCTGCATCTCGCTGCGAGACGTCAAAAACACACCACCCCGACACATCCCTGGCCAGCTGTCCCATCTGTGTAGTGGCCCAGACCTGCCCTTGCCCCAAGCCAAATCGGCCCCTCCCTTCCCCAGCACTGCCACTGCCTCACTCTGGAGCGGCTCCAGCACCCTGCTGCCCCGCGTGTCTGCGCCTGGCACCTCTCCCAGACTTCTGGTGCAGGTTAGCTGCTGGCAGGCAGGCTGGGGACGAGGCTCCAGCCCTCCTTCTTGTCTGGAAAATCTGGCCAGGGATGTGACCTGGCACGGAGACAGCCACACCCTTCCAGGTGCCCAGACTTCAGCCTCAGCACCCGAAGAGCAGGCTCTGGTGTGACCCCGTTTGAGCTGTCAGGGGCCCTGCCCAAGATTAGGGGCAAGTGGGGGGTGCTGCCTGGCCCCTGGGCCAATGAGATTTCCTGGGTGCGGGGTGAACCAGCAGGATGGGTCATGGATTCTGGGAATTGAGGGGGAGTATCAGTAGCCACAGCTTCTATCATAGAGGGCCCCCAGCACCACGCCAGCGTTATTCACTGAGATGTTACATGGTAGGATGAAAAATGAACCGAAGTGAATGTGCATAATCCCAGCACTCTGGGACGCTGAGGCAGGAGGTTTGCCAGTCTGAGTCCAGGACTTGCAGGGCACATGGAGGCGAGGGAGGGCACAGAAAGACAAAAGTCTACACCCTCACAGAGCCCTCAGTCTAATAGAGGAAAGATGATTTGCAAACTGAAGATATCATGGTAATGCTGGGCCGAAGAGAGAACAGGAGGGAAGGAGAGGTAGAGACTCCTGGGGTTTCAGGGAAGGGCAATTCTATTGTATTTTACTTTTAAAAGTTTGCTGACTGAGGATTGAATCCAGGGCCTTTGCACTGAGCTACCTCCCCGGCCCTTTATAAAATTTTTTTATTTTTACAGGTCTGATGGCCGCATACCTGTAATCCCAGCATGTGAGAGGCTGAGGCAGGAGGTTTGCCGAGAGTTTGAGACCAGTCTGTGGTACACAATAGATTCAAGCCCAGCCTGAAAAAAAAATGTTTGAGACAGGGTCTTGCTAAATTGCCCTGGCTATGCTTGAACTTGTGATCCTCATGCTTCAGCCTCCCTGAGTCCTTGGATTATCAGCATGTGCCAACCATGCCCACCCCAAATTTTAAATTAGATGGTCCAAGAGGGCCTTGCTGACTGAGGAGGTGGCACTTGAGCAAAAATCAGAAGGAATGGGCCGGGGATTT